AGAGGCAGACCTAATCTGCTTCAGTAACAACTACATAGATAACAGCCTTGTTAATCTGGATCAGTACTCACAGAATTCCCATACAGTTCTCCCCAGATACACAGCACATGGCAGGCTGGAACCCTCTGCCTGATACTTCCTGGAAAACAAAACTATATAACATCCTGGGTTTCTTGACCTCTTTATAGGGGCAGGAAGCACACCTAGGGACTTGTCTGTAATGGGACCTCTATGGTAGTGGCTGTATATGGATGTAAACAAACCACAACTAGTGTATAAAATAACAGTTCCCTACAGGAGCATGTCAGCAATATCAAAAAAGGCTATAGGGAACACTCCTTGTCAAACCATCATAGGTTAAAACACAATAAAGACCCCACAACCTTACAGTTTATAGGGATCGATATTGTTCGCTCTCATTGGAGAGGTACCAACAAATTGCCAGCAGTATCTCAGCTTGAGACACGCTGGGTACACGAATTACGTACTTTGCACCCCTATGGCCACAATATTGATATTGACATAAAATGTTTCATCAATATTAGTTAGCCTTCTCCATTTAACTTTTCACATTTTTAGCAGAACTATTGGAATTCTTATTATTTGTCTATTTATATATTCATTTTTAGTAGTATATTTTTATACTATATTGGTATTAATAATTATTAGTAGTATATTTTTACACTATATTGGTATTAATAATTGATTCCTCCATTATTGTCATTTTTAAGATTAAGTCATTATTATCGGTCTATATCATTTGTATTACCCCCATATATATATATTTTATTAGCATTATGCTGTTTATGTATCTTATCGTTCTATAATTTATTATTCTAGTACTACTTGAAGACTTTTTATCTGATCTGGAATATTCTATGCTGATATTATATGTTTAACAATGTTATTAATTTCCACATGATTTTTTATTGTTTGATGATTGTTTATAGATTTACATGTAAAAGAGATTGAATCTTTTTTCCATGAAACATGATCCTGTTTGGACACTTGATTTATGTCCTTTTTCACAAGGAAAAAAATTTCTCTTCTGCATCTCTATATTATTTGTATCTGGATCTATAATCCATTCCGTGTATAAATACGATTGTTTCCTGATTTTTCCCCCCGGAGATTTTGCTGTTTGACACTGACAGCTCTTATAAATCACATTGTCGATTAGGATCCACGGAAAAATGTGCACGCTTAGCCGCGTGTGCGCATTTAATTAGGTTCCTTTAAAGATGGCACCTGTGGAATACGCATGCGCCACCGCCTATATATATTGACGGCGCGTGGCTTGGCGTTATTGGTGTTCCCCTCAGATGACGTGTGGGTGCACGAAAAGCATAAGGAGGAGCCAATAACGCGGAGTTCCGGCGGCCATTTTTGACTGTGGATGGTTAGTCCCATTTGCACACATTGTACACAGCTATTTGCTCTGTTTTTACCTGCATTAACATACCTGGATGTCTGATGTTTTACCTGATATTTTATCTTACCCAATTAAACAAGTTAATACTACACTATGGGTATTTTCCTACTTTGACTCCCTTGGGGAGTATTAAATTTCAGACAACCCAGAATCCAGTTTCCAGAGAGGGAGCCTCCTGTATACCTGTTGAGCTGCACCCATTCATCCCTTAAAGGGGACTCTGGCACCTATTTGATCCACATCAGGAGCCCCAGGACCTGTACACCTGGCGAGGGATCTCCACCCCAACTCTGCCCCCATTTGGATGACCTCTGATGACATCAGGAGTTTACATATATTTATGCGCATTATATTATGCGTTCCGGTGAGTGCGCATTTTTTCTACACCTAATCACACTAGCACCGAGTTAAGAGAAATCGTAGAACTCCTTTGAATACAATATCTCCACGAACACTTATAGTCACCTTATGAACTTTGTTTATGTATCATTATATGTACTTAATTTTATTATATTGATTTTAGCGCTGCACTTTTCTTTTATATTCTGGTTATTTGAGGTTTATTAGTTACCTTTGGTGCTTAGCGGCTGACTTTTCTGATGTGCGCTTGCATTTTTTTATTATCTTTTGTTGATGTTTTGTTAAATAGATAGAGTCAAAACCCCTTGGAGGGGGGTGATATGGTTAAATCTGTGTCACAGAATGAAACAAAAAGGATATATCAGTTAGGCACATTGGTACCTAAAGGGTTAAATGTAGATATCGACATAAACTGCTTTTTGTCTAGTTGCTAATAGCTCTATCTAGGTGTGCACCTAGTTGAGAACGTAGCTGTTTAATTTTATTGGTATTTTAATTTTAATTTTATTATTTATTTTTATTTTATTTATTTTTATTATTTTTATTCATTTTTTTTCTATATCTTTTTTTCTATTTTTTCTTTCTTTCTTTCTTTTTTCTATTTTTTAATTTTTACATATTTTTTTAATTTTAATTTAATTTATTTAACTTTAGATTAAGTTTTTTGTATATGATAATTATAATAAAATAATTTGTGAGTTTAAATCAGCATGATTGTATTTTGGGGGAAGCCTACTAATGTGGTTTATTGAGGGAAGCATTTTCCTGGTGTTGTATACTTTATGTATTGTAAAGGGATCCCATGGTGGTAAAAGCTGACAGCTGAATGGGGTTTAAGATTAGCATACGGCCTATCAGGCATAAAGGGGAGGATCCTGCATCTATTATATATACGGCTTTGACCTGAATGGTGGTGTCTGTGAGAATGCCCTGGAGGAAGGGCGAAACACATTGACGTATTTTCAACTTCGCCGTCCAACGTACCACGTCACTTCCAGTGAGTGGAACGCATGCCGTTGTGAGGCATTCCCGGGGGCCATCTTGCTTGTGGGTGATTCTTGTGCTGTCATCTGTTGCTGACCGTGAGATCTCAAAAATACCCTGATGATGTGGCGTTTTTGGCTCCATTTGAAATACAATAAATGCTGATTATACATTTGAAGAATGTGAGTGGTTTGGTACTTGGAAATTGATTCTGCCTGAGTATTGCAGTATTACACTATATATTTGTTTTTTTCCCTGCATTGTTCAAAAAACTTTATTCCTGTCTGGAGTAGGGGATATTAAAAAAAATCTGGTGTTTGGAGGCTTGTTGACTGGGTTTACGATCCCAGAAAAACCCTAAAAGGCGTTTTTTTTCACCAAAATGTGGTGAGTGCGGTGTGGTATTTGAGCACTATTTCGGTGGAAACATGCGTCAAAAGTTTTTTTGGAAAAAGTACTTTTATGAATACATTTTTATTTTTTCAATTTATTGATTTAGAGTGGGACTTATTAATTTTTATTTTTTATATTTTTATTAATTATTATTTAATTTTTCACTGGAGTGTATATTTATTTATATATTTGCGCTGTTTTGATGTTTTATTTTATAGTAATAAAAACTGACATGTGTTCTAATCCATCTTCTCTCTATTCAAAACTAAAAAAAAGTTATACGTTAATAGTCTTTTCCATGATTCTTTAGAGTCGTAATTCCCCAGTGGCAAAGTCAAAGTGGAACGTACGCATTATACTAATCAATGACTAATGAATATCTGTTTTGAGTTGTATTCTTGTTCTTATTCAAATAGTAATGCCAAGCACTGAACATCATGCTAAATGTAATGATGTCGGTAAAGTGGTCTTGTTGCCATATATAGCACTTGCTTACTCCGGCTAATGAGGCTGAAGCCATGAACATTATGTTCTCTAAGGGTCACCTGCAGCTGAATTTAGCAACTGAACAAACTGTATACAGTTCCAGGAAACAATACTACATTCATTTGTGCTTCATCCAGCATTATTTAGTGGCTGCTTTATGGTGGTGGAGGGGGGGGGGGGGGCTATGTTACAATTCAAAAAATAGATTTCATCCCTAGCAGGGTTGCTAGACTGTTGCAAGTCTTCAATTGGCTGCTATTTATTACCTAAAACTGGAGTTGTCTGTGTTTATTTTTGTAATAGTACAAAGTGACTTTCATTTAGGAAAAATAAAGAATAGCAATGCATCCTATAATGTAGCTAAAGCTAAGGTACTGTATATCTGCAAAGTAGAGTGTGGAGTTAAGGTATATGTGAACCCTCACCTTGTAAAATAACTCACTCAGTTTAAAATACAAATGAAAGGCAAAACATTTGTGTATAGCTATAAAAAACATTATAAATACCTTTTTGTCCCTTTTTTTTATAAGTGATCAAATTTCCTATGTTCTCAGCTGCATACTGTAAGAGCTGGGAGAGGAGAAACTACAGCACACAGATCTTCACCGTGAATGGCTGTGCAGAGGGCAGGTGTACCAGCACAGGTCTGATCATTTGAGGAGAGCAGGTTAAGCTTCTAGCACAGCCGAAACACTAACATGCCTAGTGTGGTCAGTTTATAATAGGAAAGCAGAGAGACTAGCAGGAACACGAGGGATTTAACACAAAGGAAGCAATACAAAGAGAACAGGTTACTTTTTCATACAAGTACATGGTACAGCAAGAACATATCAGGAATATGAAAATGTTAGGTTTACATATTCTTTAATATATACCGGCAATCACATAAAATTTTGTGTCTTATGCAATTAATTGCTGAACAAGAAATACATTTTATATACACTAATAAAGGAAAATGTTATAAAAATAGCCGTAATCTTTCCTAAATTAATGGCATGTGCTTCAGGTGTAGGAAAACACTTTTCCTTTGTATGATAGGACAGTTAAAGTATTACTAAACCCATAACAGTAAAATCAGTCTGTATATGCAGTAAAGCATGCTTGTTATACTCGCTGTGGACCCTAAGAGGTTAATTCTCTGCATTGTGTAAAAAAGGTTGTTTGATCCTGACTTCTTTGATCCTCCCCTTCTTCCAGTGTCCCCCTCTTATCTCCTGATAAAACATATCGTGTGGAGTCACTTTGCACATGCTCCGTTTGGTGTGTATTGCTAGAGAATTTTTTTTTTTTCTTGGGAGAGTGCATGTGATCAGCACAGGGCCAATCAGCACTCTCCAGACAGAGGTCATGGGTTCTGCATCCTCCTAGAGCAAAATGAAAACTACAAGCTTTAACCAGACACTGGACACTGATAAAAGTCACAAGACTGCTCTAACTGCTGATGAGAAAAGGTATTTAGCAGTTTTTATATTTACTAAAATAATTGAATTTCCATGTTCTGTGCACTGTGGGAGACCAGATATAGTGAATGCAGGGTCCTGGGTTTAGTAAAAGTGAGGTTTACTAAATATTTTTATTTACTAAACTTCTTTAAATATAGCAGCTCAATTGAATCAATCATTAAATAAATGAATAGACAGGATTGGGTTGGCCTAAAGTGAGGCTCCAACAAAATAATTTCTTTATCAGCTTTAGATTGAGAGTGTATTGATTAAAGCCTTTGTCCAGTTTTAGTGCCATCCGTGTTTTTCCGTTATCTAGAGACCCATCAGGAAGTGGGAGGAAATTTTTTAAATGAGGAAAAATCACATGGGGACAGTACAGCAATGATAACCTTTAATAAGTCCTATCCCCCCCCCCCCCCCCCCCCCCCCCTCCCTTCCCCTAAAAATAGGGTTTGTCTCCAGTTCATACACTTTAGGCAAACAGTAGGTTAAATGGAATAGTAAGGGGTGGTATCATGTGGTCTTTTAATAGTACTGATGTCACCATAGGAAAAAAAAAACAACACTTTACTGTGCTTAATATAACCTTGGTCCTATGCATGAATACCAGCAATCAGCTGGTTGTACACATAGGAGTACAGGCCATTGCCTGGGATATAAAGTGGATCTCAGGTAATGACTTTTCAGGCAAGGTAGCTTCTAGGGCTCTCTCCTAATCCTAAATAAAGTATAATACCTAAAATTGTGTATGATACACTGTTCAAAAACAAATTAAAGGAACACTTTTTAATCAGAGTCTAGCATCAAGTTAGGGAAACTCCTTAGATATTGATCTGGTCAGGTAAGTAACAGAGATGGTTGTTAATCAGTTTCAGTAGCTTTGGTGTTAATGAAATTAACAAATGATGCACTAGATGGGTAACAATGAGACGACCCCCAAAACAGGAATAGTTTTACAGGTGAAGGCCATTGACATTTAAAAAAAAAAAATTCTGACTTTTTTTTTTATTAATTTTGCATTTGCCTAGGGTCAGTGTCACTACTGGTAGCATTAGGTGATACTTGGACCCTACAGAGGTTGCACAGGCAGTCCAACTCCTCCAGGATACGTGATATTGCCAGAAAGCTTGCTGTGTCTCCCAGCACAGTCTCAAGAGCATGGAGAAGATTCTAGGAGGCAGGCAGTTACTCTAGGAGAGCTGGACAGGACCGTAGAAGATCCTTAACCCATCAGCAGGACCGGTATTTGCTCCTTTGTGCAAGGAGGAACAGGATGAGCACTGCCAGAGCCCAACAAAATGACTTCCAGCATGCCACTGGTGTGAATGTCTCTGACCAATCAGAAACAGACTTCATGAGGGTGACCTGAGGGCTCAACGTCCTCTAATGGGCCCTGTACTCACTGCCCGGCACTATAGAGCTCGATTGGCATTTTCCATTGAACACCAGATTGCCACTGGAGCCCTGTGCTTTTCACAGACGAGAGCAGGTTCACCCTGAGCACATGTGACAGACGTGAAAGGGTCTGGGGAAGCCGTGGAGAACGTTATGCTGCCTGTAACATTGTTCAGCACGTTTTGGTGGTGGGCCAGTGATGGTCTCGGGAGGCATATCCATGGAGGGACGCTCAGACCTCTATAGGTTAGGCAAGGACTACCATTAGGTATCAAGATGAAATCCTTGGACCCATTGTCAGACCCTACGCTGGTGCAGTGGGTCCTGGGTTCCTCCTGGTGCACAAAAATGCCCAGCCTCATGTAGCGAGAGTATGCAGGCAGTTCCTGGAGGAGGAAGGAATTGATTCCATTGAATGGTCCCCACGCTCGCCTGACCTAAATCCAATAGAACACCTCTGGGATATCATGTTTTGGTCCATATGACGCCGCCAGGTTGCACCTCAGACTGTCCAGGAGCTCAGTGATGACCTGGTCCAGATCTGGAAGGAACTACCCCAGAACACAATTCATTGTCTCATTAGGAGCATACCCCAACATTGTCAGGCATGCATAGAAGCATGTGGGGGCCATACAAACTATTGAGTACCATTTTAAGTTGCTGCAATTAAATTTCATCAAAATGGACTAGCCTGCTGCATAATTTTTTCACTTTGATTTCCGGGGTGTCTGAATTCAGTCCTCTGTAAGTTGATCATTTTCATTTTCATCAAATGATGGGGCATCCTTACCTTCCTAACACATTACCCAGTCCATATCAGTATAGATATCCAGCATGATAGTTTTCCCCATTGAGATCTGATGTGTTTTCAAAGTGTTCCATTACTTTTTTTGAGCAGTGTATATACAGTCATAGCTGAAATGGTGATGCTCATTCAGTGTGTGCCTTTACTTTGCACCATATGTATTTTTTTGTGTGTTATTTATTACAGGGCGAGCAGCCATTTGTTGAATTTGAAATTATCCTTTTAAATGTGAGATGCTTTTTAGACTCCTGGCAGTTACCTAAACCTATCAATAACATTTCAGCTTTCAGTTGTTTATTTAGAACATGGACTAATTACTTTTTGTTTGTTATGAACTACTGTCATTTGTCCATTTAAAATTAGCCATAAGGAGCGTGTTTATAAAACAAACAATGCAACATTCTCTAAACATTCATTGCAAGCGAATTAATCACTCTAATGTAAAACACATACCTATATGCCAGGATGAATCACCTACAGTAACTGTTTGGGAAACGTAACATTCCCTGCTTTATAAATTCACCCCAAAGGGTTTATCTATGAAGATTTTCACCCATGATTGAAACAGTTTTCACATTTTCTAACCGGATTCAATTGCAAAATTAAAGTGTGAATCTTTGGTGAACGCTAGGTGAAAAAATAAATAGACCCTTAGGGGTAAATTTACTAAAATGGGTGCACACAGAATCTGGTGCAACAGTGCATAGTAACCTATCAGCTTCTAAGTTCAGCTTGTTCAATTAAGCTTTGAGAATAAAACCTGGAAGCTGATTGGTTTCTATACGAAATGTGTACTACGAAAACATTTTTTTTTTCGTTTTGGCTACATTTGTTAAACTGTAACTAAAGGCAAAACTTTTATTTTAGTTTTGAATAGAGTGGAGAGGAATTATAGCCCCTGTTAGATTTTTATTGCAGCCTGTGCCCCAATTAAGAATATTCACCCTATTTGTCCTGTCTACCATTAACATTGAAAGTGAAAGTAAAAGAAAATCCCAAATTTTTTGGTTGTTCCCAGAAATTTAATAGAGGGGAAATCTTCCAAGGGGGACACTAATTCCTAGTAGCATTTGCGTTGGCAGAGCAGACTAGGAAGGGCCATAGAGGGATTACTTTGACGCAGTTGTCCAGTTTAAACAAGTATTGCAATATGTGTGAACTAAAAACCCCTATTTTTATTGCAATGTTTGCTGGAAAGGGTAATTAGCAGTGTGCAGAGGGTTGCATCTTGTTTCTGCTACACTAATTCCTTTACCTGGGGATCCTCAAGGGATTCCCTTAATTTGCAAGGATTTCCTCTCACTTCCTGTTTTGGTTATGGGACAAGAAGTGAAGATCAATCTCCCCAAAGGGGCTCAGATAGCAGACAATGAATCAGTAGGGGTTATAACCCTCCTTTACCTTCTATCCAAAATTTGAAAAAAAAACGTTTTGTCTATAGTTCTACTTTTAGTTAATAATTTTGTTTTGTCATATTTGTTACGTTAGAATGATTTGTTTTCAGAATTAATTTCGTATATTCGGATTTGTTTTGTATATTTGTTGCTTCTGATGGATTAGTATTTTTGGAAGTTATTTTGGAAGATTTGGATTCATTCAATATGTCCTTGTGTTATTTTGGTAACTTGCTAACAGCCTTGATGTTGCAAGCTTTGGACAATCATAACAATACGCAGCGTGCCACATCTTATTACAAAACCCTCTGATGTCGCAAACCAATTAAGCAAATGAATACAAATGAATTTATTGTTTTTGTTATATATTTTAGATTTGTTGAAATTCATTACTATTGTGATGCAGAGATTTGGATACATCTGAATCTCCAAATGAACATTTCACCCAAATTTTGAAAAGAATCGCATACAGTATGTATAGTTACTATGCACAGCTGCACCAGATTCTGTGTGCGCCAGTTTTAGTAAATCCTCCCCCTAAGTGTTTTTCCATAAAGGTGTGTTACAAGGTCTCCCAATTAGCTCCAGCAATTACACCATTGTCACCAGGAAGTTTGCTAGCACACAACAGATGGTTCAGAAAAAATGTGAGGGCCATTGCTTTAATATGTTGTAAGCTCCACCTTTACACCTTAAAGGGGAGCTCCACCCAAAAGGGGAAGTTCCACTTTAAGGACTGCTCCACCGCTCCCTATTAAGGATCAGCACCTTTGGGGGGCAGGTACCCGAATTTGACAGATAGCCGCTCCCACTTCTGGTCCAATCGCCTAGGCCAGTGGTCGGGAAGCCGCGGCTCGCGAGCCACATGCGGCTCTTTACACACATTAATGCGGCTCTTCTGTGTGCCGGGCGCCCGCTCCCCTCCCTCCTCTCGGGCGGCCGTCCCAAAAGTCAGGACTCTGCAACTAGCCCAGCAATGGGCAAACTACGGCCCGCATACGGCCCGGCGGACCTTTTAATCCGGCCCCGCGGAGCATGGCAAACATTGGCTGTCAGGATGTAGGCAGGGCAGCGTGACGAACTCTCTCTCCTCTCACAGTCCGCCCTGAAGACCGGAACGGCGCGGGAACACGGCGAGAGGAACGCGCGGAGCAAAGGTAAGTGAATGACACAATATGGGGAATGAATTACTATAGGGGGGATGAATTACTATATGGGGGATGATGAATTACTATGGGGGGATGAATTACTATGGGGGATGAATTACTATATGGGGGATTAATTACTATAGGGGGGATGAATTACTATGGGGGATGAATTACTATATGGGGGATGAATTACTATAGGGGGGATGAATTACTATGAATTACTATATGGGGGATGATGAATTACTATATGGGGGATGAATTACTATATGGGGGATGAATTACTATATGGGGGATGAATTACTATATGGGGGATTACTATGGGGGATGAATTTACTATGGGGGATGAATTACTATATGGGGGATGAATTACTATGGGGGATGAATTACTATGGGGATGAATTACTATATGGGGGATGAATTACTACTAATGGGGGATGAATTACTATGGGGGATGAATTACTATATGGGATGAATTACTATATGGGGGATGAATTACTATATGGGGGATGAATTACTATATGGGGGATGAATTATGGGGGATGACTATATGGGGGATGAATTACTATTACTATATGGGGGATGATGAATTAATGGGGGATGAATTACTATATGGGGGATGAATTACTATATGGGGGATGAATTACTATGGGGGATGAATTACTATTACTATATGGGGGATGAATTACTATGGGGGATGAATTACTATATGGGGGATGTATTTTCATTGTCCCAAAAGTCAGGACTCTGCAACTAGCCCAGCAATGGGCAAACTACGGCCCGCATACGGCCTGGCGGACCTTTTAATCCGGCCCGCGGAGCATGGCAAACATTGGCTGTCAGGATGTAGGCAGGGCAGCGTGACAAACTCCTCTCCTCTCACAGTCCGCCCTGAAGACCGGAACGGCGCGGGAACACGGCGAGAGGAACGCGCGGAGCAAAGGTAAGTGAATTGACACAATATGGGGAATGAATTACTATAGGGGGGATGAATTACTATATGGGGGATGAATTACTATGGGGGATGAATTACTATATGGGGGATTAATTACTATAGGGGGGATGAATTACTATGGGGGATGAATTACTATATGGGGGATTAATTACTATGGGGGATGAATTACTATATGGGGGATGAATTACTATATGGGGGATGAATTACTATAGGGGGGATGAATTACTATAGGGGATGAATTACTATATGGGGGATTAATTACTATGGGGGATGAATTACTATATGGGGGATGAATTACTATATGGGGGATGAATTACTATGGGGGATGAATTACTATGGGGGATGAATTACTATATGGGGGATGAATTACTATGGAGGATGAATTACTATGGGGGATGAATTACTATATGGGGGATGAATTACTATGGGGGATGAATTACTATATGGGGGATGACTTACTATGGGGGATGAATTACTATATGGGGGATGAATTACTATATGGGGGATGAATTACTATGGGGGATGAATTACTATATGGGGGATGAATTACTATGGGGGATGAATTACTATATGGGGGATGAATTACTATGGGGGATGAATTACTATATGGGGGATGAATTACTATATGGGGGATGAATTACTATATGGGGGATGAATTACTATGGGGGATGAATTACTATGGGGGATGAATTTATATGGGGGATGAATTACTATGGGGGATGAATTTATATGGGGGATGAATTACTATATGGGGGATGAATTACTATAGGGGGGATGAATTACTATATGGGGGGGATGAATTACTATATGGGGGATGAATTACTATGGGGGATGAATTACTATGTGGGGGATGTATTTTCAGTTTTAAAAATGTGGCTCTCAAAATAAATTTCAATCGTGGTTTTGGCGAGATTTGGCTCAGTTGAAAAAAAAGGTTGCCCACCACTGGCCTAGGCGATTGGAAGTGGAAGGTGTCCTCCCTCCCTGCAGTCGTTTGAGAAACGTGACAGGTCCCCCAGAAGACTACAGGACCATTCATGAGGCGCAGCACTACTCGTGCATGTGCAGTGGGTACCCGACTGTGAAGCCGCAAGCTATCACAGCCAGGTGCCCACACTGAAGATGCCAACCTCCTGGAATCCAGGACGGCCGGTGAAACGGGCTGCGGGGACACACCACGGGACCGAGGGACAGGTAAGTGGCTGTTTTTTAAAAGTCAGCAGCTACAGTTTTTGTAGCTGCTGACTTTTATTTTTGACAGGATGAGTGGAACTCCGCTTTAAATATTCATCACAAGCAGCTCACAACTATTAGCAAAGTCCCAGCATATATAGTATAAGGCTGTCTTACACTGTTACTGAAACTTGCTATATTCTTCATGGAACACCCACAGCCATAATGCACTTAGCAATGGATGTTTATCACACGTATCATGTAGGTTTAAAGTGCGCTCAGAAATCTTATCCAGGTCAATTGTCTTCATACTTACCACTTCTGGGCCCAGATGTCATGGCCAAATTTAGCAGTTATGTGTTGGATAACTTGACTAAAACATCAATGACTATTTCTACATAGATATTTATTTATTTCAGGTACTTATATAGCGCTGTCAATTTATGCAGCACTTTACACATATACATATTGTACATTCACATCAGTCCCTAACCCTCAAGGGGTGTACAATCTAAGGTCCCTAACTCACATTCATACATACACATACTAGGGCCAATTTAGACAGGATCCAATTAACCTACCAGCATGTATTTGGAGTGTGGGAGGAAACCGGAGTACCGGAGGAAACCCACGCAGGCACAGGGAGAACATGCAAACTCCAGGCAGGTGGTGCCGTGGCTGGGATTCGAACCAACGACCCGAGTACTGCCAGGCGGAAGTGCTAACTATTTAGCCACTGTGCTGCCCCAGATATGTTTTAACCTGTTTTTTAATGTAGGTTGACAAATGAACAAAAATTTAAATAAATAAATAAATAAATATATATATATATATATATATATATATATATATAATATATTTAAACCTATTCATTACTTTTTTATATTGTAATTGTATGTATACCACATCCGCAAACATAACATTCCTCTCAGCAGAATAATGACAGCTGGGTAAGACTGGCAGGCCAGCTCATCCAGACCACTGAAGTACTTAACTTATTTCTTCCATGGTTTCACCACCACATTTGGGGAAATGGACTGGGAGTGACAATAGAGAAGCCACCACTTGCAAAACTTTCAACATGAAAATTTTCAAAAGAAACACAGGG